CATTAAGTAAGGAGTCAAATAGCAAAAAAAAAAAAAAACCAGGCATCCCTAACTGCTTTTTGGCTGTCATTCACATGAACACCAAAATTTCTGCATTTCTCCTATCTACTCTATAGAAGATCTTTGTCCGCAGCAAGAGTAGTTTAGTAGAGAAAAAAATCTTCACTAAAAAGTTTTCACCAAAAAAAGGCAAGAACTTAAAATTTAGTATTATCATAACTCAATCCTAAAAAATTACACAACTATATTAGGCAGCAATATGCAGTTAAAATATCTCGTAGGTACAAGATACTGATAGCCTGTCAAAGAACAATTTCAATTCAATGCTTTTGACTTTAAAGAGAATACAATTTATGAAAATCTTTAATGGTGTCCTTGGATAGAGAGGGAGTGGATGATGGTAGAGTGAAAGCCAGCAAAAGGTTAACCCCAGCCCATTTGTAAGAACTTTTAACAGGAGAACAGTGTTTTGGAGGTGAATTAAATCCCTTCAAACCCTTCAAATCCTATATTTTAGTTCCATTTAATCATGAGATTTTGAAAGTATAGTATCTTTCACCTCATGGTTTTTGCATTTCACCTTCAAAACCTTATTTTAGTAATGATCTCATATAGTATAGTAGTAATATTAATAGCATATAAACTTCCCACTACCCTGTACTCTACTTTCCTAACATTACAACTCAATTACTTTACCTTCCAACATTCAAACACAAGGCAAGTTGCCAATTTGATTTTCAAATTGAAGCACTTGATTTATCAGATCAAAGTATTCACCACGTCATATGGAAACCATACTGTAACAGGGATACATTGCCCAAAAAAGTACATGCAATTTTGTGCAACTATTAGCCTTAAATTAAGTTTTATGTTCATTTAGTAAGACACTTTGCACAATGTGAAGCCTGTACATCAGGAAGCTTGTGTATAAAAATGCAAGCAGCCAAAATACAAGGAAACCAAGTATATAGCAATGAAAGCAGCAAAAATAGAAGAAACCCATGAAAGTATCTAAGAGCTCATGAATGGGTTCAACAAATTTCCAAATGTTATCAGTGCCTTTTAGTGTTGTCGGGTTTTCGTAAACCATAAGCTTGTCTCCTCCAGAACAGAACAAGCTACAACAAGAAATTGTGTTTACAAGTCTGTGAACAATTATAAGTGCCACTTTCAGGCACTTCTAATTACTTAGTAGACATGTTCCATAAAATTCAATGTCATTAAATAATCTTCAAAAGGTTTAGTAGATATGTTTAGGACCAAAAAGAAAGAGCAAACTCCACCTACCTCTGTAGTTTCAACCTTTCTCACATAACACCTTGGGATTTCTTTTTCCCCAATTAGCACTCTATCGATAAAATCTATTCCCATAATGGGTTAGGCTATTATTTTTGGTCACTAAAATTATGAAATACCCTTAAATATGAACAAATAGACTAACTTTTCAATTGAGGGTATTTTGGTTATTTTATTGGGTAAAATTAACGGTGTAACCCCTCTTTGAACAGATCCATGGGTGCTAATCAGGAAAAAAGAAACCACAGGTTGCTATGTGAGAATAGTTAAAACCACAAGGGATGTAAGTGGAGTTTACCCAAAAAAAGGAATATCATTGATCTTTTGAAAGATGGTATAATCTCAGCAAACTGTCATACCTTGACATAAGGTAGTGTACGTGGTAATGTACATTAATAATATTTAAAAATCTAACAAGAAAGCAATTCCTGACAGCATTTTCATACCATTAAATTTTTTCCCCAACAATCATCCTGCCATTAAATCCTTGTAACAAGATCAGATGGCATGTGAATATAAGAGAATTATTGATACATAATAGCACTCTAAATAAAAAAGAACATCTACATAATCAATGTAAAATAATAGCTTCTCAAAAAAATGTAAAATAATAATAATTCAATTATACACAAGAATTAGTTCCAAAGTAATGATCATTTGCTAAGTTTTACTCTTTTTTGCTGAAAACAAAGCCATTATGTTGACCATTAAAAAGTGATATCATGACATAAAAGCAATCACTCAAAAAACCAAGTACATATTTTAGTGCAGCTCCTTTGTCAACTAAATATTTGTGGACAACTATAAAGTGATGTCAAGGACATATAAGAATATATAGCACCATAGCATCCAAGAAGATATTAAAATCTAATGAAAGGAATGATTCTCGTTAAGAAAACCAACTTTGAGAAAGAGACAACATTGCGCCATGGTCCAATATTAGGTGAATTACCTACATAACACTAATCAAACTGAAACTAGCATCATAATTAAAAGCAAAAATGAAACTAAAATTTTAAAAGATATGGGCCAAATAATTAGGAAAAGACCCCTTCATATATATACATACACAAAAGTGAGTCAGATCCAATATACAATCTTTTTAGTTAGGCCACATACCCTACACACCATGAGTTTATCTGAAGGATAGCTACTTTAAAGTTCCAGATTAAATGTACAAAAACTATTCAAAAATATAGAACTTAGTAGGAAGTGAGTTCTATATAAGCAGTTCTTCAGCACAAGCTTCGCAAGCAAGTTCAATTTACCAAGTGAAATTATTACCTGAAACAGAAGAATAACTAGAAGGTACCTCCTGCTGATGAACAGATGAACTGGTAGGCAAACTTTCTTGGAGAAGAAATCCACTCTTCGGATCCAGAGCTGAAGTTCCATCTCTAGCATGGTAAGGTAGACGCCCATCGGGAATAAATGAAGATGGTCCAGAGCTGTTGGACAAAGTCTCATTAGGATAAATTGTTGGTGGTCTATGAGGAGATGCTGCTGGAACAGGGAACTGCTGATAGTTAGAAGCCACCAGTAACTGCTGAGCATCCATATGATGAGAATCAACAGCTTGTGAATATGGATCATGAAAACGATTTTGTTCTTCTGGCCTGCCAGCTGGAGTAATTTGTGATTGCACCGGCTGGTCCTGCATAGCAGCCCTGGTATTCGCCCATTCTCTAGCTTTGGCTCCCCAATCTTCCACGTTGTTGTGGGCTGGCACTAGAATATTATTGCAAGCCAAATCCATCATCATCAACATATTATAAGACAAGCATAGGTTCAGATTAACTTTCACAAGCAGGGGCAGATGGCTTGTGTAGGTAACAGCGTAAAGAGAGATTCACTTTGTACATATTACAATCAGCAACTTAGATTATGATGGATAATTATTAACTAATCATCTAAAGGAATGCCATCTCAGTCTTGGTTTCAATTGATACTAATTTAAAATACATCCATATAAGGACTGATCGTGCTCCACTTAAGCAAAAACAAAAAGGTTAATATTGAATTACTAAGATAAATTTTTTTAGTCACGTTATTGGGAAAATATTGGTGTAAGATCCTATGAGAAAAGATCTCATGTGATGATAAATATAATTTTGTGTCTACATGTTTATATTGCTCTAGTTTTGACACTTGTGAAATTATTATGCATGACATTCCTTTTTTTTTTGGTTAAAGGATTATTATCCTATACATCAATGGTGGACTTGAAAACTCAACTCCATCGCATGCCTCAAGTCTATTAAACCAAATATGTCAACTTAGTTATTCAATATTTGTTTTCTTATTTACAATTAGATGGACATATGACATTGATATAAAAAGCTAGGGGAGCTTTTAAACTTCATTTCCCGTGAATAGGTAGTTGAATTAACATGCACCAAGTTCATAAAATCCACTCTTAGTATGTATAGGATCCTTCATAAAAATCCACATTCAAATTTTATAAAACCAGCCCCAAAAATATGGAAATCATGATCTGATTCAATTGAAACCAATGAGAAAAAGCCAAAAATCAAGTGGAATAAAACAAGAAAACCTGATTAATACCAACCTTGGGGATGAGACCAATTTGGATTGCTCCATTCCTAGAGAATGAAAACAGAATAGAAAAAAAAAGGTCACTGGATGAACCAAATAAATAGCATTTCACGATACAATAGAAATAAAATGAGAAAAAAAAAAAGGCATAAAAAGATAGAAATTACCTGATTAACGTGAGAGAAAGAATGGGGAATCTGAGCAGGAGGCAGGTACGGTCTTGGAGGAGCAGGAGGTGGAGGGAAGTGGTTACTTGCGTTAGGGGGATGCGGAGGACAAGAAAGAGGATTGGGCGGCGGATAAGCGGAATGATCGGAGTGAGGAGGTGGACCCCAGTGGGAAGGGTGTTGCTGAGGTGGAGGAGGAGGTGATGGGGTAGAGTGCGATTGGCTGTGATGTTGCGGGTAGTGGAATTGGTTGGAGTACCATGAGCCCTGTGGTGGTGGTGCAGCTGCTCTTGGGGGAGGCGGTGGTGGTTGGTGGTGGTATTGAGGGTGG